GAGAGAGAGAGAGAGAGAGAGAGAGAGAGAGAGAGAGAGAGAGAGAGAGAGAGAGAGAGAGAAAGAGAGAGGGCACAGTTGATATAATTTTCTCCTTTAATTGCGCGAGTATTTGCACGAGAAACAACGTGCGGAATAAACGTCTCTCCACGCGCGCGAATACTCTCCACGGCTTGCTTGCGAATAAGAACGCGATAATCCGTGTACGGAAAGCTTAGCGGACGAATCGTGCGGCCTCTAAACGAGCGGTTGGCGAGACGCGTAGAATCGCGAATCGCTGGTGCATAGGAATTGCCTCGACACATCGAAGTGTGACGCGCACGATTACTCTCGGCTGAGCAATACTCCGTAGCGTTCCGATTCCGCAGATGCGCCGCGCTGTCTGACAGGATACGCATCCTGGCCGACCGTGAATGAGTGAATACCACCACTGCTACCGCTACCACTACCAGTGCTACTCGAAGCGATATTCCGAAATGCCGCCGCCATCGCCGCCGCCGCGGAACAGCTTCTGCTTCGCAGTGATAACGGCGTGATTCGGACGAATCGTGAGTATGACTCCGGAGGAAATAAATCATTGTATAATTTAGCCGCTTAATGCGCCAATGAGGGTAAAACGAAGGGTGGGAAGAACAGTCGTGTTATAGTCTGCAGTAGAGAGAATAGAGGGGGGAGAGAGAGAGAAAGAGAGAGAGAGAGAGAGAGAGAGAGACTTCCTTCTCTTCGCGACGAAACATGCCACGAAGGAAGAAACTGCAATTTTTCGGCGGTGCCAGATTTTGCTCGCATGAAGTAGACCAAAGAAAATAATTCGACAAGAAAGAATTAGAGAAAGAGAGAGAGAGAAAGAGAGTGTACATAGGCGAAAAGTAAGAGACGGAAATTCGAAAAACCAGCACTGCGGCGAAATGCAGAAAAATATATACTGCACTCAAATATAAATGGTATTTATCTCAAATATTTCACGAGTTCGTATATATCTGTAAATCTATCACAAGTCCATTGCAAGCATCAAATTTTTTAAAAACACTCTGAATCCTAGTAAATTTAGTATTTTAATCGAGAATATTAAATTCGAAGAAAAATTCGTTTTGCTCGTTGCATAGAGTCGAGCCAACTTTTCCTGTGCGATAAAGTTCTTTAATCTTCTCGCAAAGAGAATAAATTCTCCTTTCGAGCATACGATAATGAGCTTTTCTAAAATTTCTGATGAGTGGATTTTAAGGTTATTATCAAGAAAATATTGTTTGTTGATTATAACCATCACTCAAAAGGAGGAAGGAGCAATCACCTTTTCTTAGCAGCGGAATGATATTTTTTGGCACTTGGCGCCGCTGCCGAGAGAAAAAGTAAGATCGACCGTTGACGTTGATTGATAATTGATACGACAGTGCGCGCTCGCGCGCGTTTATTAGCGCATCCGCGTGTCTCCCTTCGCTTCGAATCGATAGCACCGATTTACATATATTTCCCGATAACGTCGCATATTTCAACGTGGCGCGTTAGAGCTGTAATCGCATGTAATTATTTCGCGTATATGCGTGCGTGCGTGCGTGCGTGCGTGCGTGCGTGCGTGCGGGCGAGCTTGTGGCAACGCTTCCTGACCATTCTGCCAGGGCTTTTAATTTGCGTCCATTTTAAGGCAACACCTCGACACGCAACGAGATTTTATCCGCAATTTGTTAGCACACAGATCCTTTGAGAGTCGGTCGCTCGCGCGCGCAGTGGCAGTGCGCTGTGTATTAGTTAGATTAACAGCCGGATGATAATTGGAACACGACGCGCGATTCCCTTGCGTCGCTCCGCGATACCGTTGTCGCAGAAGCGCGACGTCACGGAGAATCACGTTTGGTTTTTATTTATACGCGCGCTTTATTCACTTCGTTCAGGACAAGTGCGTCGAAAAATCGCGGAGCTGTTCACCAAGATTTATTTTGTCCCGCGTCGCGTGTGTAGATTATCGCGGCAACGTTTGCTCGCGCGCTGCTTACATTATTATTATTATTTACATTCGCCGGCTCTCTCTCTCTCTTTCTCTCTCTCTTTCTCGCCATAGCCTCCCTACGGAACGCATAAAATTCGCGACGGTGCGCTGGCGATTCCGCGCGCGATATGGCATTCGCGAAAATGCATTTTCGCCCCGGCGTATTTAGCTTTATCGCCCGTTCCGATTCACACCAACGTTTCATTACACACCGCTCAGGCAGGCTTGGGCAAAATATTTCACGGCGGGAAACTAAGACGCGCGGTATCTCCCGCATATTATACTCCGCTATTTGCATTTCCTCGCCAGGCGAGGCCGTCCTTATACTAGATGGGAAACACTTTTCTAGTCGCGTTAATAAACGAAATTCGCGCCTGCTCCTGGTCTTATGATCGGTGTGACGGCCCATAAAATAGCGTTGACGAACGAATTGAATTCGCGTTGCGTTGCGTCACACGGGCACTCGTCTCTTTACTCGCGGACGCCTGATGACGATAGACTCAAGAATCGGCGAACAATCGCCGAGGCGCAAGAACGTGGCCCGCTGTGTCCTCAAAATTAAACGATAATTCATAAGCGATCAGTCATACTTCTTGCCGCGAAAGTGCACCGGCGTCATCGTGACTCTGTGCATTTTCGAGCGATTAAAAGCGCGAGTCGGGAACGAATAAGGGGTGTACGTACAGCTTATTTGCGCGGCGACGTAGTGCCAGGTAAATACCTGTATTATAATGCGGCTGTTACGTACGTACGTGACGGCCGCCAAGTCAGCTTGCATGCGCGGGATGCCGCGTCGCGCCACGTAAGGTGAAAACGGGTCAAGAGGATGCCGGCATAAGAAAGTTAATACCGCATATGTCGCAGCTTGCCGAGCGTGGCGCGGGACGTACAAGAAAGCGCCACTTTTAAATGATAAATTACTTCTAATGGCGTCACTTCGCTGGCTGGCGCGAACTTTGATGAGTTTTTATTCGGCGCGTCTTGCTCGCGCGCTCTCGCTTAATCCCAACAAGCTCAATCTTTATGACGTCTAATTTTTTACCGCCGCCAATCATTGCAATCGATACGCGCCGGGGCGAAACGGTGAATCCTCCCCGACGCTCTCGCCGCCCGGCGAGAGTCTCTCCCTTGACGCGCCGCGGCGGCTAATGACCCCCGTCTCGTCGTAGCAGCGGCGTGTAACGCCGACACGGCAGTGTCCCCGACGTGGCCTTAGAGATCCTCGCTTAATATCAACGGTTCCCTCAACAATGAGTCGCCGGTGTTCGTGCTCGCTCCTGCGAATGAATCCCGTAGACGGAAGCGCGCTACGGGGATTCCCTTAACCCGATTTACATTCCGCGAACCAGCTTAATTGGAGAAACGCGAGCCGCTACTAGTCTCTATCGCTCTGTACTAAATTCCAATCAACGTCGCGACGATGTTCTCACGATTGCTACGCCGCGCGCAATCGGCGGCCTGGCTCTAATCTCGTCGTTCTATTTTTGATAACGCGCTACGTTATTCCGGACGATTACATCTTGCATTCTGCAACAGCGCGCCAGCGTTGATGTATCGATATGTTGATATTTTGCGACGCGCGCGGTACACGTTACGTGTCAGGGGACGGCTCGCGGCGATGCTCCCCACTTTAACGTTTCAGGCGATTACGGCAATCGTGTTGTGGCGTCGTCGATGTAGCATTTTCTTTTTCTCTCGCTCATCATCATCGCCATCATCGCTATCACACGATCATCATCATTATCACTTTTCTCTCTCTCCCTCTCTTTCTCTTTCTCCCTTTACCTCTGTCCGTCTCAGCGTACACGGCAGCAAATTACAAATTTCGAAATTGATGAACATCAAGCAAGTTAATTAACTATTTAATAAGCAAGTTAATTAACTAGGGTGTTTGACTAACTACCGCCGCCGGGATGAAAATCTTATGAACGTAAATATTCGCTCGTAATGATAACGAAAGTCTCGAAGTGAGATATAAACACACGTACATGGTTATATATTTGTACGCACACACTTACACATATATATGATTACGGGGATATTAATTATTTCTTTTTAGCGCGGCGTGCACGCTACGCTATGGCATGGCCTCGTTGTATTTCACGAAAGTTCGGTGAGCCGACAGAAATAAGTGGCAGGCAATGCGGCATTAAGACAACTAATTAAATATTTTATAGTGGAACAGCAACAACTTTACCGGTAAATCTCACACGAATGGAAATCTCACGGCTCGCGAGGAAGGGCCTCTGCGTTACAAGGCTGTAATATAAATTGTAAAGTCTTCGTAGCTATCTCTCGGCGGGTGCTCGCGACACCAGCGGCTAACGCCGCGAAAGATGAATCTTCATCGCCGTTTCCGTTTTCGTCGGCGATTTAACCGCGCGATTTTAACTCTTGTTACCGGCCCTTTTCCACTTGCTCTTCTTTCTTCACCTTGCGCCTTTTTCCCTTCTGAAATATCTGGAACATATATAGACGTTTTTAAACGGGTTTATTAACTGTGTTTGAAACCTGAAATTATATTCAAATTATATAAAATTTAACATAACATTAATCATAGTAGAATACACTCGTGATTAAAGCTTCATGCGACTTGTCTGCATTTATGAGAAATTTAAAACTGAATATCGCAATTTTGCACAATGGCCTTACGGTAAAAGCAGTACAGATGTCTATTATTACTGTATAACTTGGTCAAAAATTATATCATCCAAGTAGAAAGCTCGTTATTATTAAAGTTATATATTAGAAAACACAGCGTAAAAAAAGAATAATATTCACTACATTATTTTTGTGCAATGGCCAATTGTAGGCCAGAAAACTGTTGTTTCATGCTTCGAGTAGCATTGCACTGCGTGATATAACAATATGAAATTAGCTTTAAATTAACTTTTTGTTACGTACTCAGATAAATTGAATTTTTGATACGCCACTGTAAAACATTTTTTGAACTTATCAAAAATATTTTACGACTCATTTGTCGAAAAAACTACGGTTTTATATACAGGGTGTCCCGCGTAAGATGTGCCAAAAGAAAAATATAAATAGAATAGATAAAATTGAACAAAAATTGTAGAGGTCATTTTTCAAACAACCACGTAAAATTTTGAGATATTAATAAAAATAGTTAAGCATATCAGCGCGGAGACGCGATAGGCGGAACATACGGCTCGCCGCGGCCGGCGAAGAATATGGATGAACGCACACGTACACGGACGCACTCAAGGAGCTATCCATTTTCATATGCCAAAAGACCCACCTCTTTGGCCTATAAGATAGGCCCGCGAGCAATCTATTTTTTTCGCGGGCCGCGGCGAGCCGTATGTCCCGCCTGCCGCATCGCCGCGCTCTGATATGCCCAACTATTTTAATTATTATCTCGAAATTTTACGTTGTTGTTTGAAAAATGACCTCTACAATTTTTGTTCATTTTTATCTATTCTACTTATATTTTTCTTTTGGCACGTCTTACGCGGGACACCCTGTATATTTATCTGACTGTCTGAGTATGTAATACATGTTAACTTGAAGCTAATTTATTAGAATTCGTCTAAACGAATCCGT